AGACAGAAAGCGAGAAATCACCCCCCGGGGGATGGCCATGCTACAATCCCTTCTCCGTTCTCCTCTCGGGATCTTGGGCATGCACACACATGCGCCCGGCATGAGTTTAAGCCACCGGGTCCGGGACTTTAACTACGGTCGACTACATGGGAGTCCAGTGACATAGCCATTACGCTAACTGCTGATTCCTCAAGTAGACTTATTTAAGAATTATTTTTTGTTTAATTTTATCTATTATTATTATTATTATTATTATTAATGTGACCAGAGAGAGAGAGAAGAAAATGAGAAAGCAAACTGCCAGATCTGGGACTTGAACCATGATTAACTATGTGGGAGTCCAGCACCTTAGCCACTAAGCCACCAGTCAGTCCCTCAAATAGACTTTAAAGAGAACTAAGCCCTGTAACAAAAATGAGAATGTAGTTTTACATAAGGTGAATTCCAAGAACTTAATACAATTCTTTCAGATCAGTGCTTCAGTTTAGAACAAATTACCTGGTGATATTAGAAAAATGCAGATTCTTATTAAATCTTTTTTATTTCTTAAGAATTTATAATGTGTGTATAACCTATTTAAAAATAGAAAGTACTAGCCTGTGAGGTAATAATTTGTTATTAGTCAATGGTAAATGTGCTGCATATGTGTCGTAAAAAAAACAGGGTAAGAGTCCTGTCTGCCTTCAGGCAGAAAGATAATATGGCAATAATCCTATTAATCTGATACAGCTTCCTGGCTTCTGCCCTCATTTAGAACAACAGGATTTAGGAGAAAAAGAACACCTGTTTCATAACACAGTGATCAGTGGTGAAGATCCTAAGTTGAAAATTTTTTTAATGATTGATCCATTGCCAGCAGGAGAAGGCACCATTTCCTGGCAGGCTGGTGCTAGAGCAGGGAAAATCCCAAGTAGCCCCAACAGGAGGAAGGACAGGAGGAAAAGCAGATGAGAAGAGAAGCCCAGAGGGCCAGGCAGAGGGCCACTTCTACAGTGTCGCTTTGCAGTGCCGGCTCCTGGGGCAGAGAGCCCTTTACGAAAGCACTGTACAGTGACTGTTCTTGTGTGATCCCGAGTCATCCCACAGCAGCCCAAGTTATATTTGACCTGCTCATTTGGGGGTAAGGCAGAGTGTAAGTGTCATAAATTTTAGAAATAATGCAACTTTGGGGCCAACAGGTGGCATGGTGGTTAGGGGTGGACTCCCACATGGCTTACCACAGTTCGAGTTCTGCTTTCTCACTTTCTCTCTCTCACTCTGTCCGTCACTGGTCAAATTAAAACCAACCAATAAACAAATAAATAAGTAAATGAAGTTAAATAAAATAATTATTTAAAAAGAAATAATTTAACTTTTAAAAGTTACAATGTATGTTGGTTCGTAAAAAATGCACATTTATCTAGGGTGAACAATATAAAAGGACTTTATGTATATATTTTTTTCTTGAACCAAAAATTCATTTTCCTCAGTTATTTTGAGCACCTCTGTCATCACTAAATAATTTCTGGAGGGGCCAGGAAGAACTTCCTGGAGCACCCATCACAGGTTTTGGTTTTAGTACAGGTGAGGTCAAGTTGTGGATTATGTGGACTTCTCAACCCTATTTTCCTTAATTTTCCAGGTACTTCAGAAGACCGAGTGTATTTTATAGTGCCGTGATGACTTCTTGATAGCGTTCTCTCTTTCTTCTAACAGGGCTGTGTACTTTGCATGTTACTCCAAAGCCAAAGAGCAGTTTAATGGCATCTTCGTGCCTAATAGCAATACCGTGCACATTTTCTCAGCTGGCTCTGCAGGTATGTCACCCTAGTGAGTGCAGTGAGAGTCCCTTGCTTTCCTGAAGCACGTGTTGTGCCAGAGAGTGTTTTGCAGAAATTAGAAGTTAGCTCCCTGCTTGTTTTTCACTTAACATTTTTTTCCTAATACTTCATGTTAGAATTTACACAATATATAGAACAGTCCGTAACTTGATTTCAATGTCTTCGACCACTAAAAAGCTTTTTATTCTCCCTTAAAAAGTATGTGTTTTCACACATATTTCTCTTAAAGGAGTGTTATTGGGCTTTTCATATCTTTTTGTTTGCCTATTATTTTCTGAAGTTAGGACTGTTTTCTTTGTGATTCTCTGTGGGGTTGAGCATAACCTGTGTACAGTTGGCATCTCTGTCCTTCACAACTGGATGGTACAATGAGGGCCCGGGCTTGTAGCGGAGTTAATTCTGTAGGGTTAGTGACAGTTCTTAGAGTTCCTGTTTTCTCTCTCTCTCTTCTCTTTTCTTTTTTCTTTTTTTTAAGATTTTTGCTATAGAGTGTGTGGGCTTGCCAGAGAGGAGAAAGATAGAGACAGAAAGGTGGGGATGGCCATGCCGCAATCCCTTCTCCATTCTCCTCTCTAGATTTTGGGCACACGTGCAAATGCACCTAGCCTGATTTTCAAGCCACTAGGTTCAGGACTCAAACTGTGGTCGGTCACGGGGAAATCCAGCCACCTTAACACCACACCATCTGCTCGCCCTCCTCCTGTCCTCTTTGGAGGGAATCATTTTACTTACTCCAGAAAATGCATAGCCGACTTTTCTTTTTTAAATATTTATCTTCATTTATCATCTTTTTTTTTTTTTTTTAATTTGCTACAGGGCACATGTGCTTACCAGAGAGTAAGGGAGACAGTGAGAAAGCAAGCCACCAGGTCTGGAATTCAAACTCAGTTGGCCGTGTGAGCCCCCCAGCCCCCATGCCACCTGGCCTCATAGCAGGACTTTTACTCATGAAGTATGTAGCAGAAAACAAGGACATGTTTTTTTTTTTTTCTTTTTTTCTTAAGTTTTTTGTTTGTTGTTTTTTTTGTTTGTTTGTTTGTTTGTTTTTGGGTGTTTTTTTTTTTTTTTGCCTTAGTGCACATGCACTTTCAGGGGAGATGGCTACACCAGAATTCCTTCTCCTCAGTTCTCCTCTCAAGATTTTGGGCATGTATGCATATGTGCCTGACTTGATTTTCAAGCTTTCAGGTCCAGGACTTAAACCATGGTCAGCCATGTAGGAATCCAGTGCCTTAACCACTATGTCAACTGTTGACTCAGACTTGTAGATTTCTAAAAGATGGCTCTCTCCTCCCGTTTCCTCTTCTCCCTTTCCCTTCCCTTCCCCTCTCCTCTTGTCCTCTCCCCCTCTCCTCCCCTCCCCTGCCATGTGTGTACTTGCCGGAGACACAAAAATGAGAAAATACTTCACATTTCACATGAAGCACGATCACACCAAATCCCTTCTCTTTCATCCTTTCCTCCTCAGGATTTGACCATGCACACACATGTACCCAGTGTTTTTTCAAACCTCTGGATCTGGGATCTGAACTGTGCAGTAAGCCAAGTAGAATATAGCCACCTTAACCATAAAGCCATGGACTGGCCCAAGACTCTCTTTCTGTAGACTTTTATATCTATTTAAATAGAGAGCTATTTTAGAGAACTTAAATTGGCATTTTATGAAAAATTTCTGCCTTTTGCCAGCCTGTAAAGTATATATACCAGTTTTAGTATGCCTTTGTTATTAAAATAAAAGTACTAGCAACCCATCTGAATATTTATAGATGATCATTTCTGGACCCTGGATAGAAAGTAATGTTAAACAAAACTGCTTCACCCAAGAAAGGCATTTCTACTTAACGTGGACCTCTGGGGAGGAAATGTGGTATTCCAAAACAGGTCAGTCTTCACTTGCGAGGCCAATAGTGAGTGAGTTAGCCATAAGCTAAAAGCTACTAATCAGGTCCAACCAGTGGGGTGGTTAAGGCAGCTGGATCCCAAGTGGCCAACGATGTGATTCAAGTCCCAGACCCAGTGACTTGAAAAACACACAGGGCACGTAGGTATGCATGCCCAAAATCTGGAGAGGAGAATAAAGGAAAAGGGATTACGGTATGGCCATCCCCCCCTGGATAATGCTTTCTCAACTTCCCCTGCCCCTTATCTCTAGTGAATGCACAGATCCTATAGCAAAATTTTAAAAATAAATAAAAATCAAAGCTATTAATCAATTTTATAACTTTTGCAAAATTAACTTAGTTGAACCCTTGGTAAATAGAGAGGAGCTACTTCATATGCGGATCACCATAGTGGGTTTTGTGTGTTTAGTTGGTCTGAAATGATTACCAGTGTTAGGATGGGAAAGGCTTAGTAGACTCTCTTTTTTGAGAGGTTTTTGCTATAGAGCATGTGTGTTCGCCAGAAAGACACAGAGAGTCAGAGGTACAGAAAGTGAGAAATCCCCCCCTCAGGGGGGACAGCCACTCTGCAATCCCTTCTCCTCCATTCTCCTCCCGGGATCTTGGGCATGCACGCACACGTGCCAACATGCGTTTAAACCACCAGGTCTGGGACTCGAACCGCGGTTGACTACATGGGAGTCCAGTGACATAGCCATTACGCCATCTGCTGGTCCCAATAGTCTCTCTTAAAAAAATTAAATTTAGGGCCGACAGGTGGCCTGGTGGTTAAGGGCACTGGACTCCCAGGTAGCCGACCGTGGTTCAAGTTCTGGACCTGGCGACTTGCTTGCTTTCTCACTTTTTCTTTCTCTCTCATTCTGTCCCTCTCTGGTCAAATTAAAATCAATAAGTAAAGTTAAAAAAGAAAAAATGAAACTTAAAAAAAAAAAAACACTTAAATTTCAGGACCAATAGAGGGCATAATGGTTATGTCTCTGGACTCCCATATAGTTGACTGTGGTTCAAGTCACAGACCCAGTGGTGTCAAAGTCATGCTGGGTGCATGTGTGTGGGGGCCCAGGATCCTGAGAGGAGAATGGAGAAGGAATTGCAATGTGGTCATCCCCCCGTGGGGTGATTTTTCACTTTTTGTTTCCCCATAGAGCATACATGCCCTATAGCAAAAATCTCTCTAAAAAAAAAAGAAAGAAAGAAAGAAAAACTTAAACTTCAGGGCCAGCAGGTGATGTGGTGGACTCCCATGTGGTCGACCACAGTTCGAGTCCTGAACCCAGTGGCGTGAAATTCATACCAGACATGCGCGCATACAGGCCCAAAATCCCTAGAGGGGAGTGGACAAGACAGGATTTCAGCGTGGCCTTCTGCCCTTGGAGGGTGATTTCTTGCTTTCTGTCTTTCTATCTTTCTGTCTCACCAGTGAGGGCATATACCCTACAGCAAAAAAATATTCTCTCAAAAAAATTTTTTTTTTCAATTTTGTGAAACAGGTTCTTGTATTTCCAAGTATAGATTCAAATAGAGACTAGTTCCTTCTATCCCATGATAGGTATAGAAGCGCCTTGTAGATTAGTAACTTTTTCAAACAATTTCCATATCTGAAGGTTATCAAGTTTCACGATAGTTGATTATTTACCACAGCAGTTATGTTAGCAGAAATGTCAACAGCACCACCCAGAGGTTGAAAAGACTAGAAACTTGAGAGATTTCCTAAGATCCAACAGAACCGATAGATGTTTCCGGTTAGGGAACTAAAGCTTCCATCTGCAGTATAGAAAAGTAACTGCTTCCTATTCACCATTTTATTAAGTTATTAAAACCCTGATTTCAAAGTTTATTGTGCAATTTAGACACCTTTTTTTTTTTAAGCAAGTTTATTGAAAGTGTACCGTGTAGACCATTCCATAAATGGAGCAACCACATGAGGGGTGGTGAACAGAGGACGGGCAGAGCTGTTGACTGAGCAGAGATAGACGGGCCACCACACAGGCAGGGCAGCCCAACACCTTCGGTAAGCATTGACTGTGTTCAGTGATGAGTATTTCTGGGTTTCTTGTTCTTCCAGCTTTTGTCACAAATTCCTTAATGAATCCTATATGGATGGTTAAAACCCGGATGCAGCTAGAACGGAAGTAAGTAATTAATTGTTCGTTCTACAATAGAATTCTTGGGGTTGTGTTTTTTTGTTTGTTTGTTTGTTTGTTTTTGCTTTGCTCAGTTCCAGCTATGGATTGAGATATATAGAGTCCTCAGCCATTCCCCTGCTTTTTCTTTCTGCATCTAAACACAGATAGAAATGCTGCTTGTTTTGAGATTTGTACTGGAAGTACTGTGGGTGACAGAACCAGCAGGGAAAGCAAGGACAGGCTCGGGTTTGTGGTCCCTGGTCTGTAGTCCTGACTTCCTTCTCAGATAGTCATGGCTTTCTGTTCTTCGCTTCCCCCACCCCCGTTGGAAAGCCTCTGTTCAAATGAGAAGGTGCCAAAAAACGACAGGACAGTAAATACCTTCAGGCCTCAGAAGAGGAATTTTGATCTCCAAGGCCCTCAGATGTACTCGATTTCTACCCGGAAACTCTAGCCCATGGCTCTGAACTTTCCTTTTTTGCCCTGGATTTTTTTGGCAGCCTGGTGGAACCTGCAGGCTCTTTTTAGAATAATGGTTTTTGAAGCACTCATTAGATTATAGAAAGCAATCATTAGAATACGATGATCAATGTTCAAAACTTGGTGATGTATTGATAGTTGTTTGCTACTTTAACATATTCATAATGAGATCTAGCAGCCGTCAAGTAACTGCCACAGTCTCAAATATCACAATGTTCTGTGATACGTGTGATAAATGTAATGTGATAGAAAAATATTTCTATTTGTGCAAAATCACAGATTAGCAACACTTCTGTGGCTTTTTAGATATTCAAATGAAGGAATGCAAGTTTCCGTTAGAGATCAGAGTTAAAGATATCATTTTCCCAAAGTTCAAGGAACTGCCTAAAGAAGGATTCTAAGAACTGTGCGTTACTATACTGCTTAGAAATGTGCTGTACTGGAAATTTCCAGCAGGCCAGTCTGGCTTTGAGCTGCCTCTAAGGAAAGGAGGTGAGAGGTCAAGAATGCCTCTGGAGTCTGCCTTTGCTCTGTAACGACCCTGATGGCCTCTGCACTGGCCTTAGATGCCAGGTTCCTCCAGTCTGCTCCCTGAAAGCGCCCTCTGAAAAGCACATCAGGGCCAGTCATTCGAACAGATCCTTTGCTCAGAAGTCTTTGATGAGTTGTGGTTACTCTTAGGATAAAATCCTAACTCCTTAGCTCAGCATCCAGTGATCCTTCACAATTTTCCAGAAGTGTCACGTGCTCCTGCATCCTTCTCCTGAGTGTGCTGTCTCCCACCAGAGCCCCTTCCCCTCCTTGGTCACGCTGACACCTCCTTGTGCTTCTGCTTCAGCCTCCTGAACAGACTCTCCTGGAAGCCTTTGGTTCACGATCCCGATAGTGAGGATAGTGACCTAATAGCATGTCTGTTTAGCAGTGGAAAGATGTAACAGTCAGTTGAGACCCTTTATTTGCATTATTTTATTTCCATTTTTATTACCAGAGAGTACATATGCTCACCGGAGAAAGAGAGGGAGACAGAGAAAGAAGGCGCCCTCCAGTGAGGTGTGGTCATATCATAATACTTCCTGAATTTCTCCATCCCATCAGGACTTGGGGCACACATCCACCCGCATGCATTTCAAGCCACCCATGCTGAGATATGCACCACTGTCAGCCATGTGCAGTCCAGCTCCCCGCACACAGTGCTTACCCACTGTGCTGCAGTATTGGCCTCAATACATGCATTTGGGGCAGGGGGGGGTGAGAGTTTTTTGCTATAGGCACATGTGCTCGCCAGAAAGAGATAGACAGAAAGTGAGAAATCACCCCCCCAGGGGGAATGGCCATGCCACAATCCCTTCTTCATTCTCGTCTCGGGATCTTAGGCACACATGCACAAGCGCCTGGCATGAGTTTAAGCCACTGGGTCCAGGACTCAAACCACAGTCAACTACGTGGGAGTCCAGTGACATGGCCATTACGACAGCTGCTGGTCCCAATATATGCATTCCTTTATATCTCCCTAGTAATGATGGTACTCAGGACCTTTTGGAACTTTAGTTAGGTCCTGTTAACACTTGTCCCTGAGTGATGAATAAGCATTGTGTGTACTAGTGTGTGTACATGTGTGTGCTAGTCATTAGGAAGCAGGGACTAAGCCATGCCTCATAAGACATATACCCTGTCTTCTACCTTTACAGAAAATAAAGAGAAGTAGAGTCTGGGGGACAAGGGTCCTGAAATGCAACCAGACCCTGAGGATCCCTATGCAGTCTAGGCAGGGCACGGAGAGATACGATCTTAGAAGAAGAGCCAGGTGGGCAGCAGGGAAGAATGCTTGAGGCAGAGAGAACGTGTATAAAAAAATCTTAGGGCAAGAAGTGAGAGCCTAAGGCGGGAGGTGTGGGTTTGCACTGCAAGAGCATGCTGCAGGAGGGAATATAGATGAGGCTGGGGAAACAGGGCCGGCTCCTCGAAGGACCTGGAAAGGACTTTGGAGTTGGGCCTTCAGGGTAGTAGAAGCCATTATAGCCGTGGTTCTCAGTGGGAAAAAAACAGAGATTTTACCCTCCAGAGAACATCTGGCAAAGTTTGGAGACATTGAAAAAAAATGGAAATGTGTGTGTTTGTATATTTTTTTTCCAGTTTTTGCTATAGGACATGTGTGCTTGCTAGTGACAGATGGAGGGAGGGAAAGAAAGTCACCCCCCCGCCCCAGGGAGATGGCTGTGGCTGTTCTCCTCTTGGGACTTGGGCACGTATGTACACACGCTTGGTGTGATTTTTTCAAGCCTCGGGTCCAGGACTGGAACTGTACAGTTGGCCATGTAGGATTCAGCGCTTTAACCTCTACACCAGCTGCTGGTCCTTTTACATATTTATTTATTTGTTTGTTGAGAGAGATAGAGACAGAGAGAGAGACGGGCACCCCAACGAGATCTTCACTCCGTGGTCCATAGCCACCCTTAGCCAGGGTCATTGGTGTGAGGTGTGCACCAGCGTGTACAGGGAAGCCATCCGACCTCAGCGTGCTGGAGCTTTGCCTTGCTGCTATGCCATCATGATGGGCTTGGGGGCCCCTTCTTTAGTTTTCACAACTTAGATGCGGGGTGCTTCTGCATCCGAGGTATAAAGAGGCCACGGATGCGGCTGAACACCCTACAGTGCACGGGCCAGCCCCTCCTTCCCAAACGGGAGATTATCTCACCTCAGCTGCCAGTAGTGCCAAGATTAGAGGCTTTTAAGTAGGTACTTGGCAGCATGGATTTGTATTAGAAAGGTCACTCTGGCGAGGGTGTGGGAATGGCCTCTGTGTAGACAGGATAAAGGAGGGACAGAGGCCAGTGGAGACGAACTGTAGCTGAAGGAATCTTGGGCGTGTGACCAGCCTGAGCACAACCATCCAAGGGCCCACCCACTGCCTTGTAGCAGGCGGTTTATAAATACCGTCTGTCGTGAGATGGGAACGTCTAGGCCTAAGGCTTTTTTGTTATTTTACAATCTATATAATTTTAGAAATTAGAGATAATGGAATCCAGATACACACCATTTGGAGACTAGAGTGATAAGAAAGAACACCTGTACTCAACCTGTCAGAATGTTGGTGAATTTTTTGAAAACATTTGTATCATCCCTGTAACTACGTATGTAACTTTGTCCTACTTCCCACTTCAGCTCTCCTCCATGTCACTGCAGCCAGAAGTGTTGTAATCTAGTATACTTATCTGTTCCTAGTTTTAGGTCATTTGGATTGTTTTTACCTTATCATAATTATTTTTTCTCTGTGGCAAACCTCGTCCTCCGTATAGCTCATTCTAAATGTCGGTCAAAGGCCATGAACATGTTATAACTGGAACAGATGCCTGCCAGGTGTCCCAGCTAGTTGACTTGGCCTCACAGTGGGCCAGGAGTCAGCTGACCACAATGCAAGGAAGACACATTTCTCCTGCCGTACAGCTCCTCTGTGTGGTCGGTGGTGGTCGTTTGTGGCTGGGGACGGCAGCCAGGCTCATCAGCGTGTCTTCTCATGCCTGTCATTGTTTCCTCTGTGCAGAGTGAGGGGCTCCAAGCAGATGAATACACTCCAGTGTGCCCGCTATGTTTACCGGACAGAAGGCATTCGTGGCTTCTATAGAGGATTAACTGCCTCATATGCTGGAATTTCAGAAACAATCATCTGTTTTGCTATTTATGAAAGTTTAAAGAAGTATCTGAAAGAAGCTCCACTAGCCTCTTCTGCAAACGGGACTGAGAAAAATTCCACAAATTTTTTTGGACTTATGGCAGCTGCTGCTATTTCTAAGGGATGTGCCTCCTGTATTGCTTATCCACACGGTATGTTTTGCTTTCTGCTTCCCGAGCAGTAAGCCAACTCTGGTTTGTCATTTGTCCGTGTGTCTAGACCTCGGTAGCACAGGCTGGAACTCAAACGCCTGCACGGTAAGATGGCAGAATGGCCGAGTGCACGTGGTGGGCACTCCCTCTAACTCAGCGTCGGCTGCTTGTGGCTGAAACTTGCTGTGCAGACGTCAGGCCCTGGGGCGTTAAACTTCTTGTTGCTTCCAAAGATACAAAGAATCTAGGGTTTATTTAAAATTGCTTGAGTCAAAAAAATTATGTAGAAGCCAAACTTAAAATACTTCAGCACCCATTTTGAATGGGATGTCCTACTGACCTACTTTATGGGGGACAAAAGCTTAGTTCATGTACCATGAAAACAGATTTTGTTTTCCAAGCCTGCTGCATCGTCAGCTATGACAGTGGCACGTGGTCGGCCCAGTACCAGATATTGAGTCCCCATTGTTGCTGGGGCACTAAGCCAATCCCAGCAGGCATGTGGAATGGAGGCCAGTAATGCCTTTGGGGTCTAAGCTCTGTGAGGCAGGCTGAAGTATTTGGCTATGGGTGCCTGGTATTGAGGGCCAGATGGGCAATGGCTTAGGGAAGGAGGCAGTGGCTTATAAACTTGGAGGGATTCTAGGAGGAGTAGAAAGTAGAGGAGGACAAGAAAATAATTCCTGAGAGACATCGCCATGCTTAATGACAGTGTTTGCCTAATTGGAAGGAGAAAGCTATGAATTATTTTAAAATTAAGTCCCATTCAAACTAAGCTTTTTTAAATCATCTAAAAGTGACTCTACTTGTGGATGTGTAAATGTCCATTATTGCCCAATTTCCAGAGTTGCTAATTGTTCTCAAAAGAACTTAACTTTTCATTGCCCCAATAGAGCCAAAATGGCAAGTCACACGTGAACAGTTCTAAAGCTGTGGGCTTTGACTCCCTTCCCCATCGTATTCGTAGCATAAAACAGGTGTCTCTCTCTCCGCAGAAGTCATAAGGACACGGCTGCGGGAGGAAGGTACCAAGTACAAGTCTTTCATCCAGACGGCACGCCTGGTGTTCCGGGAGGAAGGTTACCTTGCCTTTTACAGAGGACTCTTTGCCCAGCTCATCCGGCAGATCCCAAATACTGCCATTGTGTTATCTACCTATGAGTTAATTGTGTACCTGTTAGAAGACCATGCTCAGTAATGAGCCAGAAAATTGTGCTCTAGAAGAATAAAACTGAAAAATTCTAGAGAATTTTTTTTCCATTGATGTGTGGAATGTTTGAGACTGAAACAGGAAAGGCCATGAAAATACCTGGCTCCTATCACCTATTGGACATTTCCTTTTGGATTCATGCTTTCTGGAAGGTTTAATTCATTAACGTTAATAGTTAATTACAACTTTTTTTTTTAACTTAAGATTCAGGATTAAGCAGCAACTAAATTAAATCATGCTATTTAATTTAAGTATACTTTTGGTTTGTGTCCTCTTTTATGTTCACTGTACTGCAGACTGTAGCTAAGGACGTAAGTATCCCAGTGAAACACACCCTAAAACACAGAGAAGAGCAGTAAGTCCAAGTACAGCTTTTTTCCTAGTGTGCTAGCTTTTTTCCTACTGTTGGACAGGGAAGCGTATCTTTTTTTTTTTCTTTCAAAGAGAGATTTTTGCTATAGGGTGCATGCACTTATCAGAGAGCCGGAGACAGAAAGTGAGAAATCACCCCCCAGGGGGATGGCCATGATGCAATCCATATCCTCTCGGGATTTTGGGCAGGCATGCACACCCAGTATGAGTTTTTAGCAGCCGGTCCAGGACTCGAACTGCAGATAACTACATGGGAGTCCGGTGACATAACCATTATGCCATCTTCTGGTCCCACATGTCACATTTTTAACACCACTGTGTGAACCAGGACAAACTTCTAGCTATTTTGCTTCTTTGTACATTTCCAATTTGTGCAGATTGGTAATCTAAGCTCTCAGGCTGCTGAGATCAAAGAAGTAAGCATAACTTTCTGACACTAAATTCTTTTTAATTCATTTTATTTCACCAGAAAGCAACAGAGTGAGAGAGAGAGAAAGAGAGAGAGAGAAAGTGAGAAAGCAAGCCGCCAGGTCCAGGGACTCAAACTGCAGTCTGCCATATGGGAGTCCAGTACCCTTAACCACCAAGCCACCTGCTGGCCCCTAAATTTTTTGGGGGAGAGGTTTTTACTATAGGGTGCATGCACTCACCAGAAAGACAGAGAGAGACAGAAAGCAGAAATCACCCCCCAGGGGGGATGGCCACACCGCAATCCCTTCTCCTCCATTCTTCTCTCGGGATCTTGGCCAGGCATGCACACGCTCCTGGAGTGAATTTAAGCCACCGGGTCCAGGACTCGAACTGTGGTCATCTACATGGGAGTCCAGCAACATAGCTATTACACCGACTACTGGTCCCTTTAAAGAATTATTTTATTTAACTTTAGTTATTCATTATTTATTCTGATTTGACCAGAGAGGGGAGAGAGAGAGAAAGTAAAAAAGCAAGCCACCAGGTTCAGGACTCAAACTGCAGTTGGCCATGTGGGAGTCCAGCAACCTTAACTACCACGCCATCTGCCGGCCCTCTGACACTAAATATTTTATGCAACAAATATTTATTTGAAGTTATCCTCTTCTCCCCTATTTTAGCCAAACACAAGAGTTTTAAAGAACTGTTACGTCAGTGGCCTCGTTCCTAGAAGTAATTCTGGAAGTTAAGCCTAGTTAAACCCAGGCACTTTGCGAGTATGTGGTAGGTATCCTTGCCTCCCAGGTTGTTTGTGAACATAGAATGATGAGTAATAGCCCTTCCCACTATGGTCTTTAACCCATTCTGGGATCTTTGCTATTGAAAACGGGAAGTAGGCCTGCAACCCCTTGGAGAGTTCACGTTTATTCTGACAGCAGACTCTGGTATTGTTTATATACTCTGGTTCAAAGTTTAAAAAAAAAAAATTTCTGGAATGTTACCCCTCATTTCTAAAGGAAATATAATGTGGGAGCAAAAAGTAATAAAGCCCAGCTTCTGCAGCATAGTAGTACTGGCACCCTGTAGTGCTGGAAGTCACATGGTGACTGCAGTTTGGACTGCTGGTCCACCAGCAAAAACAAACCAGTCAAACTCTCTGGTGCCCAGAATTGAGGAGCTGGAGGGCTGAGCCAAAGGGTATCGTGGTGTGACAAGACCCTGTCGGGTGCCTTCTTCTCCCTCTGTACTTGTAAAAACAAAGGGAAAAGAAGAATGAGACCAAAGGCAGAAAAAGGGAGTCTTCCATTCATTCTTTCACAGACACTTGAGTATAATGTATATCAAGGTTATTTTCCATCTGAACATTTAGGAAAATACTCTATTTTAATACCTGATGCATTGTAGTTCCAAATTCAACTGTAGATCCTCTGGAAAGGATCAGGGAAGGATATTTTCAAATCGTATTTAAATTGCATTTAATTTTGTTCACTTTTATAGTCGTAAGGGAAGTTGGTTGGTGTTCTTGAGTGCTTTTGTATAATTTGCTTCAACAGTTACCTATTTGGTCACTGAAAAAGTAATGGCCCATTTTGCATAGAAAAACACATTATGACTTTTACAATAACCCCATAGAGGTCAAAATGAGTAACTTCAGTTAAGGTTCAGTGCTTCTAGATGCACAATAGCAAAGTGGTATCTGTTAGCAACATCTATTTTAATATTCATTTAAAAATCTGATTATTTCTGGGCCAGTAGGCAGCATGGAGGTTAAGGCACTAGATCCCATATGACTGACTGCAGTTCAAGTCCTGGGCCCAGCAGGTTGAGAACGCACCAGGCAGATGTGTGTACATGCCCCAATTTTTTTTTTTTTTTTTTTTTAAGAGATTTTTGCTATAGGGTATGTGTACTCTCCAGAGGGAAAGCAAAAAATCACTCCCCAGGGTGGATGGCCACGTGCAATCCCTTCTCCAGTCACCTCAGAAGATTTTGGATGGGCACACATGCACATGCACCTGGCATGAGTCTGAAGTCATCGGGCCTGGGACTCGAACTACAGTTGACTGCATGAGAGTCCAGTGCTGCTGCTGGTCCCAATGTGCCTAAAATCCTGAAAGGAAATGGGACTTACAGTATGGCCATCCCCCATGGGAGTTGATTGTGTTTCTCTCCAGCAAACACACATGCCCTATAAGCAAAAACTATGGGGGAAAAAGAGTATTTTCTTAAGAGTTTACCTGATAGGAAGGCTAATAATTAGATTAATTTTCACTTACATTTTCTTGAAATCAATAAATTTGATGTTGACCAAGTATAATTCAGTTCTCTGGTTCTCCCACTCCAGGGCATTTAACTGAAAGAAACTTGAGCACCCAAAGTAGGAAGGAGGCAAGCAGGAAAGACATGTTTTATCTATAAAGGGGCCTATTGGATTTTTTAATTTTTTAATTATTTATTCATGATAGAATGCATGTTCACACATGAGAGCAAGAGAAATGAACTCCCTCCACAGAATCTGGTCATGCCCGGTTCCCTCCTAGTCCTCCAGCCCATCAGCTCTTGGGTACTCAGACATGCACCTGGCATGTTTCAGCCCGCCTGTGTGGAGTATTCGAACCTCTGTCGCCAAGTGGGACCTGGCTTCTCTTGAGCAGCCCGGTACCACTGCATCATGGAGCTCCATAGAGCTCACCCTGAATTTTAAAATGGGGAATATCAGTCTTTGAGCTGTTAATGAAGAAATTCCACGATTCATATCTCTTTTCCACAAACTTAGTCACTAGGATTTTTTTCTATTTAAGTAGTCACATATATGTATATGAATGTATGTGTACACACACACACACTATTGTAGGTATACCCAGTGTATACCAAGCACTATAAAGGCTGTAGGTATTTTCTCATTTAAATTAATTATTTTTGGGCAGTTTTTGCCTTATGACACATGCACTTGCTGGGTTGAGAGAGAGACACAGTGAGAGAGAAAGTGAGAAATCACCTCCCAAAAGGGGATGGCCACTCCACAATCCCTTCTCAATTCTCCTCCAGGACCTTGGACATGCACACACGCTTGGCGTGAGTTTGAAACCACGCGGTCCAGGATTTGAACAGCGATCAGCCATATGGGAATCCAGTGACGTAACCACTATGCCATCTGCTGGCCCCTTAAATTAATTTTGACAACCTTGTAAGTCAAGTATCATCTTTCACATTTTAACAAGAAAGGCGCAGAGGAATTAACATGACACGCTTGAAGTGATGCAGATATGAGTGTTAAAGTGATCCATAGTAGGTTTCTTCTACTACTTGCTGGATACATGAATAAAAAGCCAAGGGGATGTTTGAATCTGACCCCAGAGCCAAGATCTGGTAAACCATTCCATTCAGTTTTCTTAGGATTTCGAGTCCACAGGCAGTGTCTCTAACCAAGGTGTGCACGGGACAGGATGCCCACTTTGTCCGTGTAGGTTAGAGTCCTTTCTTGGAGTGGGACATAGGCAGATACCGAGTGATCCTTGGAATGGGACTACTGCATAATTCCACACATCTTGAGGGAGGCTGCACCTTTGCCTGCAGGCTGCCAATGTAAAGGCTTTTCGTTGTGATAACTACTTCCAAAAAGAGTTCCAGTACAGACTGTGGGTTTCACCTGTTTTCCCTGTTTTCTTTCACTTCTTTCCTAAGAAATGTGCATGATTAAAAAGGACTTGGACAGAATAATTGGCAACAGGAAACAGGTAACATTTGCTCCCAACCCATCAATGTCTACGGAAAATAACTCAAAATACTGGAAAAGTGGGAATGCTGAAACACATTTTGTGTAATTAATATTTTCTATTCACTTTTTAAAAACTAGCTTAGTTCAAATCAGTAATGAAACAAAAGTTAATCTTCCCTTCAAATCCCATCCCCTGAGGTAGTCAGTTTGCTCCAGTGCTAATCATTCTCAACTTCCTTCAAACGTTGGAGGGTATATTCAAACTTGGGTTGTCCAAAAACCCATGTGCATGTTGCTTTTTGAAAAGTGTATCATCCCTCCAGGCCAATACCTCTAGCTCTGCCATTGTTTCTGATAGTTTATTTTTGTTTTGTTTTGTTTTGTTTTGTTTGGAGAGGTTTGTTTTGTTTTGTTTTGTTTTGCCATAGGGTGTGTGCGCTCGCCAGACAGAGACAGAGACAGAAAGCGAGAAATCACCCCCACCGGAGGGGTGGCCACGCCGCAATCCCTTCTCCATTCTCCTCTCAGGATCTTGGGCACGCA